GTGAACTGCCGCAAGAAGAAGTGCGGGCACAGCAACCAGCTCCGCCCCAAGAAGAAGCTCAAGCCCCTCGGCCGACGCTCGAGGTTTCGGACAGTGAAGCTCAGGTGTTTGCGGTAGTAGTGTAGCTATTTGCTCATCAGCGACGCCACTCATGCAACAGATGCTTCCAGCTTGACTCAGCTTGACTGGGATTCGTGTAAGTAGATTCCGACTTGTACGGCAGAAGGCACCTAAGCCGGAGGAAGATGCTTGAATGCCTGGCTCGAGGACATTCAACGCTCTAATCCACACCCGTAGGCCGCAGGCTAACGGCCCCGTGAGCCCCCATTGGTCTCAAAGGATTTCTACACTCCACACTTTGAAAAGCGCTGGGTCTGCTACAGGTAAGCCGTCCCCTATGGACAGGAATTCGAGCGGCCGCTTGGCTTTCAGTTCAGGTGGAGGAGCTGTCTTCAGAGTCCTAGAGAGGCTTACAGGATATGCTTCACAACCACATCGAGCTACGTGCACCAGGTCCTAGCCGAGAAGGCCCTTCACAGCAGAGGCCCGGCTTGCACGTTTTGTGGCCTTATCCGGATTCGAACCCTGTGCAAGGCTAGCAATTGCTACGTATACAGCAACTGCAAGACTAGCCTCAAGTACTTTGCTGGACATTTGCCGAGTTTTCTGTTTTTCGGACTACACAAGCAGCACACGTCTACGACTCGGCGCGAGCCCAAACGAGGCCTTGTGCTGGACTCTTGGCCGCGGAACGTGGGACCCAGAAGAGCATGTCGCTGAACTGGAAAAATCGGTGCTTGCGCTTTGAGGTTCAGGTTGCTGATTGCTGACTTTGGGGATGCACGATGTAGTCTCGATGGTAGCTCGTCGTGACTCGTGGTACACTTGCAACTGGCCTCGCTATCGGTTCTCAGCATCCATCGAATCACGAAGGACAGCAAGGATTCCTCAAAACGTCCTGCTGTAGTGGTCAAGACCGAGACATGCTGGAAGTGTTGAGGAAAGTAGACAGCGTGTTTATTCATGCTTCCGGCAGAAACCCAATTGATTGATTGCATTGAATGCATCTTGCCGACGACCGTACCATGCTACTGACGATCTTTGGATTTGGTTTCGTCGGTTCTTGAATCTGAAAGTGTTCTCCGAAAGAGGATCCTCAAATGCGCAGCCCAGAAATACTGTCAAGACTCGACGTAACCTGGCAAGTCGAAAGTGACTGGAAGCAACGCTTCAGATCTGAGCGGCGTCAGCTGTCGTGGCTTAAGCCTAAAAGCAGAAAACATCCCGGGCCCCTTTTGGGATCCGTCCCGCGATGCACGAAGCATGTCAGCCTGTAGTGGCCATGCATGCACGAGGGTCAACAAACTGCATGGAGCGATTCCAAGGCATGCAGGACTTGCTCTCAAGTGGTGTCGAGGACATCTGAAACCGCACAAAGGAGTACCCCGGTGCTTGCACACACTCTTTGCTTGCCGCGCCCCATGCGTCTTCGAGGCCGGCCAAACCACAGAGGATCCGCAGAGACTTTAGTTTTCGATGCGCGAAGCTTCATATCAGCCTGCGGTGCAGAGCTCTGCAGGCTTTGGGTATCTCTACCCTACAGCAAGCACCTCGAGCTTCCACTCAAGCCTGTTTAGAGCCAAGGCCCCTGACCGTGTCATTTGCACCTCTTGCAAGTAGGCCCACAGCCATCACAGCCCTTCCGGCACCAAGTTGAGGGTTTCAGCACGGCGAACATAGGTTCGGACTTCAGGCTTTGATGAGAGCGTACCAGAGAAGTGATGTGCTGGATTCCGGAGGCTTCTGGTGGTTTGTAGTTGCACGCATGACGGAGTGGTAGGTTCCAGGCCGGCATTCACCGATTCTTATGCGCCACCGCAGGAAAGCTTCTCAAGCAGTGACCTGCGCGGCCCCTTCCTAAGGTCCCTATGCCATGTAACCCACCCCGCCCACACTTACAAGCCGTAGTGAGGCGAGGGGCCGAAACCACCGAAGGAGTCGTAAGTTGGGCACATAGAACCTACCGTTTGAAGCTCCGAAGAAGCAATCGATCAGATAGACATCTCTCAGCCGCACACACAAACGAAAGCACACACACACACACACGCACACATATCCACATCCGCTGCCGCCCCAAGCCACAAGAACAAGAATAATTACAAGCGAAACCCTTCCTTGGACCCGTCGCCGCGAAGCTGGATTGCGGGATTTGCGCTTTGGTCGAATCAGCGACGGTCGGAAGAGTGCACAGATCTAGACCAAGTCAAGGGAAGGTGAAAACAGCACAGGCCCAGAGACTCCAATATCCCTTAATTAAGGAATATACCTTAAATTATAGTAGGATCCTTAATATGATTTAAGGTATATTCCTTAATTAAGGGATATTGGAGTCTCTGGGGAGCCACAGGTCTCACAAGGAGAGCACAGACCCTCGGAGTCTGAGTCGCCTCTTTCTCGAGATGAGTGGTTGTCAAAAGTATGGTCCCTTTTTGGGGTCCTTATTCTAATATCGCACCTATTATTTAGGGTATTTCAAAAGGGACCATAATTTTGACAACTACCCACATGGGATGGGGCTCAAATCCAAGGTCCTCATGGCCGAGGCCATCCTTCGACGGGCGCCCATCACCGACTTCTTCTTCCAGGAGGTCGAGGACGGAACCCGATATCCCGGAGGGTTAGGGGGGGTCTTGTGGCCTTAAAGAGCATTCGCTGGAAATGGGGCTTCCAGTTTTACAAGTCATTCGCGGCTCAGACCCTCTACAGTCATGCACCCCGCTATCGACACTCAGACGACGATGATGGGTCAATCGTGGATAGCCCCGGGACTCCAGTATAGGCTCAGGCTCAGTCTTGGCGCAAAGGCTTAGTGAATCGGGACGCGCCTGCTAGCTGCACATTGAGATGCAGGTCCGGTCACAACAGGCGCTTCAAGACTCGATGCTGACTGTGCGAGATATACTTTAGACTTTGGGCTGACTTGTGACTTGCGACTGGTGGCCATGGAGGATGAAGACTTTCAACGTTGCCTCGAAGTTCTGCAAGAGCTGCAGCAGGAGGCACGCGAGCGATACATGTGACTTGAGTTGCTTTGCTCATTGAGGGCGAATCCCCCCCCCACTTTACGAGGAAACTTCGGAAATCCAAGTCTGTTCCTTCGAAGGGTCGAGCCCAAGGCATTCCCTTCGCAGCCTTTCACGGGCCTTGAGCCCTCGCCGCCTTCGAAGGGAGTTTGCAATGGATGTTTTGAAGCCTCTTTGAGCGTTCTATGCGTGGTTCAACCCCCGTGTCGCCTGGTACGCCCCGAAGTCCGGGCCCCTGGTGGCCCCTCTAGGTGCACGACACGGAAGACTGCGGCATGCTGGATGGGCTGCTGCGCCGTTTTCACAAAGATAAGCCAGTGGAGTCCCTCTGTGAACTCTGGCAGGCCTGACATGGAGCTTTGGCTCCAGAATGTGGAGGGTAAAGTTCGGGGTTCAGCCCGAGGTCCTGGGTTTAGGCTCAGGTTTTGGGGTCAATGTTCTGTGGACGGCTGGAGCTTTGTCTACCATGTGTGTGGATGAAGGTTCAAGACCACGTCCAGAGCGCTTCAGCCTTCGGACCTTGTGCAGGGCAGCATGGCATCTCAACCTTGTTTTCACAGCTAGCAGAGAAGGTCGTCAGCCTCCAGACTTGTTTCCTGAAGCTTTCTGCCGGGCCTCGAATACATCCAACAGTCATCAGCACTCCGCACCGAAGTCCTCAGGCACTGCACACCACCTGCAGTCAACCGGCTCAGAGACGACGGCGTACTACGGTTGATGGACAAAATCCTGCATGACCTTATATACCTAAACTATGGGATTTATGGTACTATACTATATTTGGGTCATGCAGGATTTTGTCCATCAACCGTAGTAACCAGGACTAGGCATCTTCCCGGCAGGCAGTGGGGGACGAGACCCAGATCAGGGCCCCAAGGTCGCTGGTGGAGAGGCTCTTGCAATGCGCGTGCACCTGCTGCAGGATGAGGCGTGGCGTGGCGTGAGCTTGCCAAGGGAGCTTTGGTTGGAGAGCATTTCGCTGCATTCCATGGAGTGTAACGATGTTGATTACGGCAGGGCTGTCGGACGTCAAGCTGGGGTCTATTAGGGGCTTCGACGACGACTATGACTATATATTGCGAGCCGGAGTCACCATTGAGACTTGAGTTGTCCTCGGCGGTCTATTCAGTCGGAACTCATTTGATTCGCGTGCAGCAGGTGTGCTGTCAAACTGTCAAAAATACATCTCACGTGCAATCAGCATGGCATGGTATACGCATCTTTGACAAGCATGTAAGTCAGTGGCCAAGTCATTATCGGCAAATCTAACCACTTCGCCGTCGTGAGACGTTCGAAGCGGCACAGGTGTGAAGGACTTGAAAGGCATTTCGGCCCCAGGCTATGGTTAGAGCCATCAGCAGCAGAGCCCGCGAAGCATGTAAGGCGCACTTAACTGCAACTTTCAACCCTGGAGAAGAGCCACACGCGCGATGTCTTGAGATCACTTAAGCCGTTTAGTTTGAGGTCGTGTTCAACCGTCTTGGCCAGGAACTTGGAGTTGCGAATGGCTGCTTTGGAAGTTCCTTGGCCTTGATGCACTTCGCACTGCGGGCTTCAGGTCCGTGATAAGTTGCTCCGCAATATAGGGGCCTCAATAATTACCTATGCTACTTTGGGAGCGTTTCCTTATTGTAATTATCGTATAATATACCCAAAAACCCTATTCTAATTTTTAAGGCCCCTACATTAGGCCAAGATGTCCACAGTCCAGACGCCCGCTGTCCGTCCGTACCCTTTGGTCCCTCCTGCATGTCGAAGAGCAAGATCCAAAGTCTGCAGCCAAAATTCAACGTCCTTGCCTTCTCGTTCGTAGCCTTGGCCTTATCCCATGCCACCGCATTCAACTGCAACCCAGCCATGCAGATCCACTTAGTTCAAAGCATAAGAGGTTTTCAATGACCTGGAGAAGTATGCCATGCTTGCGGGCTGCCCGCCAACGCTGCTGGATCAACTGCTGCCAACGCTGTTGCACAATATGGCACTGGCAGAAGAGGACTTGCAGAGGGAGGGGGTGGGCAGAGTAGCCGGATGCAGCAAATCCTGGCCACTTTCAGCAAAATCGGTCAGGAAACAGACAGCAACCTGTCACAAACAGAGAGGCCGGGAGTCAGCAGCACGACCTGCAGCAGGCAAGTAGGCTGCATTCGGCAAGCGTCCGACACGGCAAAACAGCATTAAGATTAGCCTTGCTGTGTAAGCCCCAACACCTCTTATCAGCCTTGCAGGACTACTTGAAAGAGCCGCCTGCAGTCCTTGAGGATGCAGCGCTTGCTGCACGGCTCGAACCGGCCATGAGTCGAAATGCCGCAGCCAGAGATAGGAATCGTGACAGCTCTGCCGCGACTGTTCATGGATGCTCCAACCGGTCGGTGATGTTCTGCCACAAGGCTCAGGGTCGCGAGCTGGTATAGAGGTCAACCACAACTTCTTCGGAATGTGCTTGAAACATGCTCCATTGGTCCTGAGATGTTGCATGCCGGCTTCGCCATGTCTTGGATTCAATGCTTCCGGTACATCTTCTGATAGCGAGTTCGGGATCCCAGGTCGATCTCCTAAAATGTCGACTCCGAGAAGGGATCGATCTGGAAGCTCGGAGCACTACACAGTTTCGCTTCCTCTGCGAGGGACCACTGCTAAGTTAAACGTGTGAAGTTTTTACACATGGCTACTCTTGGGATGCTGCACCCGGTGCCGGAACTAAGGAGCCAGTTCAAAGCAGCTTTACCGCCAGACAAAGACGGGCAGGGTCCAGAAGACGAGGTTGATATACACAGACGCGCGACCACTCCTACCCATGCCCACGCTCACCGACATGCACACACAGAGACGCACACACAGACACACATACACACACTCGCTCGCTCACGTTCTCACTCTCTCTCTCTCTCTTTCCTTCTCTCTCTCTCACACACAAGCGCACAAGCGCATGTGCATGCACACAAAGGCATACACGAATGAAAAAGGCAGGGAGGTGCCACATCCAGCTTCTCACCATCTCGAAACAGCTTTGCTGTTCGCTCCTTGTGCTTGGTTCCGCACCTTTAGCATCAGAGAGCATAGCCCGTGTGCAGTTGCTGTACGATCTCCGATCTCCCGAGCTAGGAATTTTCACTTTACGGTCTCGAATCGACCTTTGCTTTAGCTGCGAGCTTTCCCCTGCTGAACCCACAACCTCGATCAAGAGGAGCTGCCTCCGCACTGGATAAGCTTTCCCTTGCTCTGGAGGAGTCACCGAGACTGCGGTCTGTTTTGCAGAGGCTTTTCTGTTTTGGTGTTGATCGGCTGAGGTACGGAGGCCAGAGACACGACATGGTAGCGAATATCAGCATGACATTCTGCCTGGGCTTGGTAGTGCAATGGAGTAGTTGAGGCGTGTGGTGCGATCGCAACAGGAGCCTCTTCTCACGCGAGTGCTGCCCATGATTCGGTCGAAGCTGGCCGAGGCCGGTATTCCAGTCGCAAAATCTGGGCCGTTCAGGAGCAGGGCAGTTCAGGGGGACTCCCGATCCGTGGAGATGGATACACAAGAATGATATGGGCAGAATAGCTCGCCATCTGAGCTTTGGCTTGCGGTGGCTGAGGCCCTTAGCTTGGGGCTACCTATAGTCTCCATTGTAGTTCCTTTTTGGGGATACCTTATACATTCATTAATATATAACTGGTTAAACCATAAAAAGGAACTACAATGGAGACTATAGCTGGAGTCTCCATTTGCCTCTGCTCAGGAGGCTTGGGAGCTCCGTGAGCTTGCAGTGCTGGCCCTTGGTGCAGTGGCCGGTGCGACTTCGAGAAGTTTAAATACATACATATATATATATATATTGATATTGATATTAATAATTATGAGTATTAATATTACTATTCATATTCATATTAATATGAATATTATGCCAGGAGTTCGTCTCAGGTTTTGGAGGTTTCCTTTGGGCTTAAGGACCTGGCTCCGGCTTTGAGGCTTGAGTTTGGGACTGGCCTTTCTGGTGCGGTGTTCCACAGGGTTGAGTGGGGCGTGATGTTCGGGCGTGTGGGATCCCTTTTGTGAGTGGTCCTGCTTTCGTGCTGTGCGATAGTTGTGCCCTGCTTGATAAATGGGTGTTCGGTCTCACAATTGCTGATGAAGTGACCAGAAGAAATCTATTGCTGCCGGACTAATGCAGAGGGCTCAGGAAACAGCCTGTTTGAGTTCAATTTTTTTGTTTGTAGACCAGCCCTCGACCCAAGCCTGAGAATGCTTCAGCGGATAGGACCTCTCGTTCCAGCGCTGCCCGGCATTGCGAAGCAGCTTATACAGTACGTTGGATGTAGAGCACCCCCTGCTCCGGAAGCTTACTACAGTACCAGTAGGGCATTGTTTCGCTTCCTTAGCCTATTGCTTTCTTCTCCAGCTGCCTGGGGGATGTGAACAATCATGCATGTCGTCGTACCTTGCCCAGGCGATCAAATTGAATTCTCTGCTTCTCGGCTGCATGAAGCGCAAGAGGAAGTATGGTTTCTGCAGAAATCACTCTGGGCCCGAGGTTGATGCATCATAGACCCCAGGACTCCAAGCCATGCTCCCCAAAATTTCCAGATGAAGAAGCAGATCTGCTCAGAAGCTTAGCTTCTGCATGTGATGTCGCATAGTAGCACTATATCTGCGCCCTCTGAACCAACTGCTTCAGATCCACAGACCGGTCATCGCTGTATTCCATTACAGCGACGTGACTGCTCTCAATCGTCTGCTGATCGAGTGCTACTCTGCAGTTCTTGTTGTGTTCGTGTTGAGGCACGACAGCACCTCTTTGCTTGTGTCGTTGATGTGGGTTGTAGAGTAGAGCAATGGCGCTGCTGTCTTCGAAGAAGTTCCAGCTCCAAGACAAAGAAGTTTCCTCATCAAACGAAAGATCGCATAATGTTCTCGTGCTAGCTCCTACGGCAACCTCGTGTTGCCTTCTTCGTATCGGGCGGGGCCATTCAGTAGCAACATCAAAGCCAGTGGTATAAGCCGTGGCAGAAGGCCACGTCAGAATCCTATCCTTCTGGGCAGCGAGGCTGGTGCAGGACATCAAAGCTCTCCTATCAGCCTGCGATGCACCACAGGGCAACTGCCTCAGTCCAAAGCACAGGGTGGATGCTTCAGACCAGCCCTGAAAACACCGTGAGCAGTTCCCAGCACTGCCTTAGCTTACATGCTGCCGAAGCCGCAAAGTTCGGATAAGAGCCTTACGGTGCATTTCGCAGCAACCTTCTGTAACAACCTGAATCCCAAGCGGTAATGTACAGCCCTGAAGCTGAGACAACAGGAAACAGTGGGTCCTTCCCGATTCATTGCACGACCCCGATTCTTGAAGGACACCTCGCTATGCAGCTGTCGGAACCCCACTCAGCCAAACCATCAAAAACAGAAGACGGTCGTCCGAAGCCACGGTGCGCCCAGCAGTCTCGGGGTCCTCGGGTGCTGAGGCCTTCTCCGCTGTACGGCGCTGTGGTCTGCATCTCGATTTGTGCCCCTGTTGGTGAAGCACAAGGAAGCAGTTCTGGAGAGCGAGGCCGGGTGATCAACATCACTTCGGCTCGTAAAAATTCGGCAGTGCGCTTGGCGCTGGCTCTTCAGTCCCCCTACTCACCACATTCGTTCGAAGTCGACGAGCTGCATGTGCAGCCGTGATCAGTTCCTCTTGCACCTTGCAAACACATCTGAACTCCGTTACTTTGCCTTCATGGCATCCATGGTTTGCACGTGGAAGCATAAAAGCTGCTGACCCCAAACATCCTTGCTGCGATTAAGGAGGAATGACTCTCAAAATCAGGGCTAGGTCTAGGGTTTAGGGTTTTAGGGTTTAGGGTTTTAGGGTTTAGGGTGTAGGGTTTAGGGTTTAGGGTACTAAAATGGGGGCTGAGCCGTCTCTTCAGAGCTGCACGCTTAAAGCCAGGAGCTTCTGGACCAGATGCGACAGGTCTTCTTCAGCCGGCTCAAGGACCCGAACGGCAAGGCTCCGACAGGGTAGTTATAAGTAGGGTTATAAGTAGGGCTAAGTAGGGTAACTATAATTATAACCCATATTAGGCATAATTATAACCCATATTAGGTATATTTATGACCCATATTAGGTATAATTATAACCCATATTAGGTATAGTTATAACCCATATTAGGGGCCAAAGGCAGCCAGGGAGCTCCCTGGTCCTTCCTGGGGGATCCCGGACCGCGAGCTCTCCCATCAGAGGTGAAATCGGCAGCTGCAACTGGTGTCTGTGAGCTCCTGGAGAAGAACTCGCAGCAACTGCGACAGCATGAGGAGTGGATCCTGGAGGAGAAGAGTTTCGGACTCAGCATGCCGAGAGGTTGTGCTCCTCTTATCTGCCGATGTGTTGCCGTATGGTTTTAGGCGCCGCGCTTCAGGATTGTTGGCATCGGCTCTTCAGCTAGGATTTGGGGTTTAGGGGTTTAGGGTTTATGGTTTAGGGTTTAGGGTGTGATTGCGGGTATGCTGCCTTTCGCTTCGCCTAGGTATGCCCAAACCTCCAAAATCCTGGGACAGGTTGGATGCATTCAGCTCCGGGCCCATGGATTTTACTATAAAATAAACCCTAAACCCTAAACCCCTAAACCCTAAACCCCTAAACCCTAAACCCCTAAATCCTAAGCCCTATAAATCCTAAACCCTAAACCCTAAACCCTAAATCTGAGACGGCAGAGGAGATGCAGAAGGGACTCCACAGTGCTGCCGGTGGAGGCGGTGGTGCCCTCCCTGCCCTTTGCGACTCCGTCACCACAATGTCACCTGACGTCGGCCAGGCTACTGTAGAGCTCGACAACCCTAAACCCTAAACCCCTAAACCCCTAAACCCCTAAACCCCTAAACCGTAAACCCCAATACCCTAAACCCCTAAACCCCTAAAAACCCCAAAACCCTAAACCCTAAACCCATGTGTGCCGGTTCCTGACGGTCACGTCTAGCGCCCAGGCTGGAGCTGCGGGCCGCCAAGCGGCTCAAAACCGCTGGGGCCCATGGGGGGCTCTTGGCCGAGCTGAACGCCCAGCTCGACTCTTGTCTGCGCCGAAGAATCTAACTTGGGACCTCGTACGGGGTTGTAGAATTATATAGAGATTAGCATTAGAATCGTAGAATCAATGTCATCGCCGTCATCCCGTCCTTACCACCGCCATCCACTGTCGCTAGTGTTGTCGCCTCGGCGGCACCGTGAACACCAGTGCCACCACCGTTATCACCAGCTGTTGACCATCCTTGGCCGTGCTTGTACCACCGTTGCAAGCGTTCGCTGCGACGACATTGCCATCCCTGCCGTCATAGCACGTCACCAAAGCAGAAACGACACCAGGACGGGGCGAATGATGCCGCCGCAAGCTGCATCTTCGAGGCCTTCGCGGCCTTCGCATCTGGCTGGAGTGATGAGTTCCTGGCGATTTGCCCGAAGATTGCAAGGCCAGGTCTTACACGGTCCCTCAACTCTTGCATACTTGTATCCCAGAACCTTCAGATCCTGGTCGAGCTTGAACTCTCCCGCAAGGCACGCTGTTCGGGTGATTCGCAACGGCATCTATCCTGCACCCGCTGCGGCATGCACGGCTATTGAAGTGCCGCATGTTGAAGATGGCATCCCAGCAGCCTGGCCCGGTTGTGTTCTCGCTTTTGGCGGATCGGCCCAGGTAGCAGCCTATGGCATTAAGGTTGGTCTGGTTTTCTCACTGACCCCTCCCTGGCTAGTCAGAATGCATCCCTGTCAAAATTTCCGCTGTGGTGTCGGGTCAGTGATCTGGAATCTGCATGGACGCCGGGATCATCGGACAACACGTCTTAGTCTCAGTAGCTAAAGCTCACAGGTGACCGTTCGTTCTATCACGGGCGCCACGCTCCTCTCCGGGCGCCTGGATTGGGATCTGCGCGGTGCTGAACTCCGAGACATGGCGTCGCGGCTCCTTAGCCGTCACTAGTGCACGAGTCTTGCCTCGATTTGCTCGACATATCTAGCACCTTCTTTGAGAAATCGCTGTGATCACAGTGCTTTCACTTCTTCGAGATAAACGACCGGCTGTAGGCGAAAAAGCAGTCTGACCCTGATTGCACGGCCTTCACTTGAGTTGCTGAAGGCCCTGCTCCTTACTTGGCCAGCTGAAAAATCCTCTTTGTGCACAGACCTGATTGGTAAAAGCAGACAGCTGGTTCGGAGTTGGTCATGTGTGAAGGAGATTTGGGAGTTTCCGAAAATAAGGGGTACCTTATTTTGGGGTCCATATAATAAGGATCTACTATTTGGGGTACTAGATTAGGGTCCCCTATTTTGGGAATCCCCATTTGGGAGTTTTCGGGTCTTCTTGCGATGCAGGCCCTTGATTTCAGAGCTTGCGAAGCACCTGAGGAGCCTCAATGGCAGGCACTGCAAGAGACTTGGCTCGAATTCGCAGGCACAAGAGTACTGTAGTTCCCCAATATAGTACCGGCACCCCTTATAAAAAAGGACCCCCAAAAGGCCAATATAGTACGGCACCCCTTTTAAAAAGGACCCCCAAAAGGGACCCTAACTTAGAGAACTACCCACAAGAGGATGCAGGGATCAGAAATGTTCGCAGCTGCGGGAGAGCTGCCCAGTCGCTCAACATGTCACTGTCGAAGCTTCTTTTGATCACTGTAGTGAGACGTATGTTTCCTACTGTAGGTACTTGGGTGTTTGTGTATAAATATAAATAAATATATATATATATATAATATGTACACACATATGTAGGCGGATATGGATGCATAGATGCATAGGTACACAGATGCATATGTGCATATGGTCATAGATGTAGATATAGATATGCAGGTCTTCTGCAAGAATCCGTAGATAACTCCATCAACACTGAAACCTAAACCCTAAACCCTAAACCCCTAAACCCTAAACCCCTAAACCCTAAACCCTAAAACCCTAAAACCCTAAACCCTAAACCAACCAAGAAAGAGGTTGGTTGTGGCAGACCAGCTCCTGCCAGAGCAGCTGCCACTCTCGGACTTCTGTGCCCGGGGTTCTCAGAAAGAGTTGATTCTGACGGCGCTACTGGGCCGCTATGTGCAGCTCAGGGATGAGGGGTTCGGGGCCTGAAGATTTAGACTGGGAGTCTTGGAGGATCGATGTGAAAGTTGAGGGCTTTAAGTTTTGTTCATGGATTATTTCGGAGCTTTGCAGTTGCTGCCGGTAGCAGAGAAAACATGAGAAAACAAATCTAAGGGCTGTTTATTGTAACGGCACTGTGACACGCCGACCCCGGCTTTAATTGCCTTTGGCCAGACACAAAGGATCGTCGTCCCAGCACATGAAGGCGTTAACGCCGCCCTGGATTTTCTCGAGTGCGTAGTCGAGGCTGCATGACTTTATTTTGGGTTCGGGTCAGGGCCAAAGGCTCGGCTTGTTTCAGGGTCTGGGGGCGCTGATGCCATTGCACATTGTAGATCGGTAGTATCTCTTTCTTCGGGGACACTGTGTCAGGAGTGTTCAGAAGTTGTCGAGGGACTCGCCTGCAGGGTTTCTAGGCCGGACTAGGCGGCCCACGTGAAGCATCATGCAACCTTTATGCACGCACCACGAGACTCCGACAATTTACGACTACTACTGCTGCTGCTACTACTATAACACCACCACCGCCACCGCCACCGCGACCACGACCACCACCACGACCATCACAAGGACCACGACCACTACTACCAGTACCACGACCACGACCACGACCACGACCACGACCACGACCACGACCACGACCACGACCACGACCACGACCACGACCACGACCACGACCACTACCACTACTACTACAGCAACAACAACTACTACTGCTACTAC